TTTTTTTTTTTTTTTTTTTTTTTTTTTTTTTTTAAATATTGATGATTTAGAGATGATAATGTTCTGGTCAGCTCACTCAGGACTTTGTTTTCCTCTACAGTTTTTTAGTCTCTCAAAACACAAAATAAAATACGTATTTCATAAACTAGATGCATGCAATCACCATTGAACTCTGCTTTGTATTGTACCAACACAGAATACTCAAGAGTTGGAATCCTTACAATTTTAGTAAAACCGAGAGGAAAAAGTGATGTGTCAAAGATCATTCTGATAACACATCAAACGTTAAGGTTCACTTATAGATATGCTTATTTCATGAGCTAACTGACCAGAAGTTGCAACAATTTTGTACCTTGGAGAGAGAGCCCTGATAGACTGCTGAAAGAAAAGTTAATGTCATGTGATCCATTTCATAGTCTCTCTTCTCATTTAAATTCTCTCTTAAAAAAAGAAAGCTAGAAGAAAAATGTTTTCTATATAGGTAGAATGTGTTCTTCTGGAATGAACTTCATAAAGGGAATCTTATTCTGAAGCAAAAAAATTGCTTAGAGCTTTTCCTAGGAGTTTAGAATTCTGTATCTTTTACCCTATTTACATCCTTATTAAAAGTCAGTGTTAAGTTCTTATTTGGGTGTCCCCCCTCATCCTAGTATAGAAGAAACACTGCTTTCTGATTCACACACAGGTGCAACCTCTGCAGCAATATTAAAAATAATCCTTAATTAAAAAATGTTATATTCAATAATTGTCTAATAGCAGCTGGATACCTAAGGATTGTGAAGCAGGATCTCAAAAAATTAGTTTTAAGATGAAGACAGAAATGTCAGGTAAGCCTTTAATGTTCAGTGACGTTTTACCAAAACATTCAGTGCTGCCTATTATTTATAAGACAAAAGTGATAAGTACTGGTAATTTTCCTCTTTGTTTGCAATACAGTAATTATAAGGATAGCATTCATTCAAACCTTAATAAATGTTAGGCACCTATAAACCTACTGGATGCCTATGATCAATAACTTTAAAAGCCTCTAAGAATAAAAAGCTTTTAAAAAAATCGTGAAGAACAAGGTCCAAATTTTGCTCTTACACGTGAGAATCTTCATTTAAGGCTGTCTTGAATAGCAGTTTCACTGAAGACTCAATTCTGCTGTACCAACCCAAGCTAACATGAATTAAGAATACTCAACTACAATAGTTGGTCTTGAAGATCGTTTTGGTCGATGATTAAGTAGTATATCAACAGCTCCCACTACTTCTGAGTCAATAGCAACCAAAAGTGCATCTGATGACTAAAAAGAGAAATAGATCAAATTGAAGTAACACTAAATTAGATAGTATCAAGTCACAGAATTAAAAAAAATAAATAAAAAACAAACAAACAATGCAAATGACTACATTACCAAGAACTAGAGGTAATTAAAGGCTACCATAAATTAATGAGGCTGAAGAAAAAGAATACCAGAACAATTATAGGCAACATGTTCGAAAGAGATTAACTTATTTTAGAATAAAAGCATCTTAAAAGCATCATGATAGAAGGTAAAAACTAAAGTCATCCAAGCTTTTTCAAAACTACTGTTCTTAAGTAATGAAGTCTGCGATTGCCTTAATTTATGTACAGGGATTGATTGTAGCTAGAAACCAATACTGGATTGTGCCTCATAATAAAACAACATGCTGCAATGCAACCATTATTATGCTACCACAACATGTACAGGCTGAGGATTCAAACACAGGATCATTCATCCAGTCAAAATAGCACTACTGATTGCTAGAGTACAGGTTTCCCTTGCTTTATGCGGGTTCTGTATATGCACATTTGCTCTTATGCAATGACCCTTTTTATACCCAAAATTTATTATAGGCAAGTTAAATTAAGTCTTATGTAATCAGCACAGGTGCCCCCCCACAGCAGATAAGTCTGTGGGGGGAAGGGAAAGGGCCATGGGGCCAGGGACCCACTCACCCCAGCCCCTGCTGCAGCTGCTCTGGGAGCGGCTGATGCCAGCTGCCTGCAGATGCTGGCCTGCGCCGCACCCCGAACCTCCTGGGGCTCCACTTGTCCACACTCATCCCAGCCCCTGGGCCGCACCGTGTTGTGGTGCAGGCAGCTGTCATTGGCTGCTCCTGGGGCCGCTACAGCAGGGGCTGGGGTGAGTGGGGACAAGTGGAGGCCCAGCAGGGATGGCACAGCTTGTCCCCACTCACCCCAACCCCTGCTGCAGCAGCCCTGGGAGCAGCCGATGCCAGCAGCCTACAGCCACTGGGCTATGCTGTGCCACAACCCTCCCGAGCCTCTGCTGGTCTCCACCCACCCAAGCCCCTGCTACAGCAGCCCCAGGACCAACTGATGCTACCTGCCAGCATCTGCTGGGCTGCACTGTGCCCTGTACCCCTGGGGCCTCCGCTTGTTCCCACAGGAGGTGGTGTCAGCCGTTCCCAGGGCAGCTGCAGCAGGAGCCCCAGGGTGCAACTGTAGGCACGTTGCAACTCTTGGGACAGCTGCAGCCGCTATGGCTTCTAAGTGTCCCACTAGCTTATCTCCTACCCCTCTCCCTGGTCCATCAATGAAGTGCAAGAGAACTTTACTAACACTGGAGACAAAACTGGAGATTTTGAACTGGGCAGAAGCTGGTGATGCATTCTACACCACTTGCTGCCAAGATAGCAACGAGGGTAAGGAACCAGCTGTTGGAGAAGATAGATATACTGAGGACGTGGGTGGAAAATAAGACCCAGAAGAAGATAAATCTTACCTCTGCTGTGATAAGGGGTAGGGCCCTGCAAATTTATGGCTGCCTGCTTCAAAAGGATGATGGCCTTGAGGAGCCCTTCATGGCTAGTAAAGGCTGGTTTGACAAGTTCCTTGAACGTACAAACTTGCAGAGTGATAAGATCACTGAGGAATCTGCAAGTGCTGATCATAATGCTGCTGCATAGTTTCCTGAGGGGTACAGTCCTAAGCAAGTTTTCAATACCCATGAGATGGGGCTGTTTTGGAAGCGGATGCCATCTAAGACATACATGTCCAAGGAAGAGAAGGTTGCAAGTGTGTTCAAATGTAGCGAAAGAGGGGCTGACTGCCCTACTGTGTAGCAAAGCTGCTGGAGATTTTAAGTGTAAGCCACTGATAGTCTACCACTCCCTAAACCCACATGCATTAAAAGGACTGAGTAGGAACACGCTGCCTGTACACTGAGCTGCAAACAAGAAGGCACAGGTGACAGGCGAAATTTCTGAGGACTGGTTTGCTCAACATTTTATCATGAAGGTACAGCACCATTGCAAGGAGGCTAACCTTGCATTTAAGGTGTTGCTCATCCTTCACAATACCCCTGGACATGCTAAACTCCCAGAAACTATCAACCCCAATGTGAGAATCCTGTTCCTCCCCCCCCTAACATGACCTCACTAATTTAGCCTCTTGATCAGGGTGTGATATCAATATTCAAGGCCTACTACCTAAGAAGGAGCATCTCCCAGCTGCTGGAGGATACGGATGGACCCAACAAGCCAACAATCCGTGAGTGGTGGAAGGCATACAATGTGAGGGATGCCATCAACAACATTAAGGCTTCATGGGATGAAGTGAAGTCCACTACCATAAACAGTGCTTGGAAGCCTCTCTGGAAGGAATGTGTTATGGTCTCCAAGGGGTCCCCCAAACTGTGCACAACTGTTCGAGAGGTTATTGATCCTGGACAGAAGGTGGGAGGAGATGGTTTTTCAGACCTCCAGGAAGCAGACGTCATGGAGCTCATCTTCTCCCACAATGAGGAATTAAGTACTGATTAACTGATAGAGATTGTCGCTGCTGATAAGGAAAAGGAGGAACAAAAGCAAGAGGTGGTCCTCAAGGTCAAGGACATGACTATTAAGAAGCTGGCAGAGTTTTCTGCACAGGCTGAGAGACTTGCTCAGTTTGCCTTGGATCTGGACCCTAACCTGAACAGGAGCCTACAATTCAATCATGGTTTGAACTCTCTCCTTGATCCCTACAAGGAAGTGTATGCCCAGATCCAACAATCAATGAGGCAGTGCACCATGTACCAGTTCTTGAAGCCTCGCTCAGCTATCCCCAGCCCTACGCCACTGGTGTTGGAGGGTGATGAGAGAGCCGTACCTATGGATTCTCCTATGGATGTTACCCCACCTATACCTCCTACTAGGATGTGGAGTCTGACACTGAAGACCCTTCAACACCCTCTCTTCACACCAACTAAACATTCACCACCACCCTGTGCTTGTGTGTACTGTCTGCTATTGGTGAGTACTAAAACTGTCTTGTAAAAGTGGTAGAAATGGGTCTGGGGGTCAGTACAGTCGAGGTCTTGGAATGTATCCCTATTTGTTATATTGTAAAGTGGGTTCCCTTTATGTAAATTCAAGTCATGCACCTTTTTCCAGGAACGCACGTACAGCATAGAGTGGAAAACCTGTGTAACCATAATGTGAAAAGCTAAAAATGATTCTTCTTAAGGGATCTCCAGGACTGAAGATCAAAGGGAGTACAAGGGGATGCTACGATGTTATCAAGAAGTACCAAAGAATGACAAATGCAGAAAGCCATTTGCAGTGCCCATATTTTACACTGTCTGGAATATGAAAAAGAAGCACAAGCCATTCAAGAAGGGTGAAGGAAGAGTCTTTGGATCCTTGCTGTTTTAATGGTATGCACACAAAGTCCAGCCTGGAGATCAAAACCTGACCTAGGAGGCAAACCAGAAAAATAAGATGACAGCTGTCCAGTGTTATAAAGTCTCCATGCTAGTCTACCGAGTCTGTTGCTTGGGAACATTTTTCCCAGCCTCCTTAATTTTTCAGCTTTTATTACAGATTAATTGTTGCTTTCAACAGCATACACCATTTGTGAAAGCAACCTTAAAAATGCATTTTCTATTTACCTTTAGCAAACAATTTGCATGTTTTTCTTTTGGAAGTGAGAGTAAGACAGCAGTTTCTATACTGGACTGAAGAAAGGCAAACATAATACCCATCTTTAAATTGAAGAACCTAAAGAATCATATGCCAGTACAGGGACATGGATTATATGATCTCTCAAGATCCGATTTAGTTCTATTTCTCAGATTCCATGACCACAACGGTAAAAGCAGGTTTGCTGCCACGGCTGGTAGCTTTCCATTAGGTTCCTGCCAGTTTTTAATTTTCACTGCAATTTATACTGCTCCTTAAGTTCTTTGAAACTTTTAAATTTTTGGTTAAAAAATTGGAAGAAAGAAACATGGCATGAAGTATCCTCTCTCAGCAATAGCATATTTCAAGAAAGTGTTGTTAGGTAGGACAATCTTCCACTGTCTAAAAGATCCTGGAGGAAGGTGGCCCTCTGCCACAAAAGACAGATCAAGCTTGGAGGGAAAGCTACCTATTGCTACAAGGACCAACATCTCCTCAAAGTAGAGAAGAAATCAAGGAATGAGGAGGTTAATATAGTTTTTAAGTCAAAATGCAAAATTCAGATCAGGATCACTGCACCAATATAAACTACTCTCTAGAAAGAAAGTTCTGCATTGTGCTTTATTTTAACTGCAACACAGGGGCAGGGGGAAGAATGGTTTGAAATTCTGAACTATATGGAGAAAATGTATTATACCACTGTTAACTTCTAGGCTCAGAGTAGAATTCAGCATAATAATTATTTTACAATACACTGAATGCAAACTCTGAACTATAGTGCCCCATATATATACACATATATATATGCGCTTGAATTAAGGAGTAGAACTCCAATTTTTACACACCTTAATGGTTACAATCCAGTGGCAAAGTGCCATTGTATTCTAAAAACTTTAAGGGTATGCAACTGCACTGCAATAGTCAGAAATAATAATTAGCTTGGGAGACAATGTGTGCGCTGACTCTAAAGTATGAACAACCAAATATAGGAAAATAAATAAATATACTATGTTAATAAAACTCCATCAGAGACACAGGACAGACCTAGAAAACTTAAAATCCCTCCCTGAAAAGGGACAAAGTTGATAGCTAAAGCAGTACTCCCTGCCCTTGGTTTCTAAAAGTGCAAGACAAATCAATGACAACAAAGAGGAAAATATCAGGGTGAATTTCATTTAAATCAAATAGATTTAAATCACTGGTCCGGAAGCCTCGATTTAATCATTGCTTTCCATAAAATGTGCATTCTTTTTGTTTGATATCCTCTATTCATTTAACTTCTTGAAACTTTGCACTTTTAGAGAAAGGTAAGGATTTGACTCTGTATACTAACTTGCAGAAAGACAAGAGGGCTGATCAGGTCTCCTTCATCTTCAGACACTGCTGTTAACAAGGATGTTATCTCTGGAGACACAAATCCAGAGTTCGAGAACTGAATCTAAGCATCACAGAGATGCTTAATGGGTTCTTTTACACTGAACACTGAGTCCCATTGGGTAGAGTGGTTTTTTTTAATCTTTACTAATCTATAGGGGAGCCTCTGGGAACCCCATAAGATTGGGCCCCTAATAAAGTCCATGGCCTGTTGTGACATATTTATAATACTTCACTAAGAAGGTTACATTAAATAGTATATAATTAGAAGTTATAAATCCCTCTTCCAAGATGATCTCTTTGAGCTTTAACATACCTTTATATAGGATTTTTAAAGCATTTAAAAAAATAAAAAATGATTAAATTTAAAAAAATCCAATTTAAATAAAAAAAATTATTTTTTAAAATTAAAAAAAAAAATCATTCATTTTTATCCATCCTGCTAAATATGCATACTACAGAAGTGTGTTTAAAATTTTCAGTCAAACGAAGAAAGTTCTGTACCTGGCAGCCATAATCCAATAGAAGCTGGAGTACGTCCAAATTTTCATTCTCAATGGTTATGGTAACAGCATTTCTCCCAAGCACATCCACGCAATTTATGTTCATTTCACCGGAGCTGTTCTCTTCCAACAGTCTCTTAACCATGTAATAATCACCTAAACAAGCATCATATAAACCTCTTAGATTTGTTATATTGGGAAATATTCTGAAGTTTGCCGCAGTATTTTATCAATTAACATAACATACAAAGTACATACTCATAAATCTAAGGTTTCATTTGACATAACACAGATACCAATAATCCACGAACAAAACAACGAACGCTGACAAACAGCTAAGCGGCCAACAGCTGCTCCCATCAAATGGGAAATTAATGCCATTTGAGTCCGCTCCCCTCTTCCTAAGATGGAATTCAGAAAAGAACAAAATGGGACTTTCAAAAAATGGGGACAACAGCTTCCAGGTAGCCTCCAAGGAGGGGTGAAAGTTGAACCGTGTCAGACAGGGCAGCTCTGTACTGCATGGAGCTACACTGGTACTGCCACCCAAGATCTCCAACCCTCTCACTGCAGCTGGATAAGCTCCACGCCTCCTTACAGCCTCACTCGGCACAGCCTTCCAAACGCTGTCAGTCAAGTTACTGTTTACAAAATACGCACATGCAGGCCTGTACGATAAAACACACAATACACATATTATGCTGTGGGCATACGTTTGCTGAAGTGCGGGGGACTATGGTATCATACCGTTGTTGGTCTGTGTCAAAAAAAAAAGGCCTAGTTTACAACACACCAGCAAAGGATCCGATGGTTAAATTCGAGAGTAAATCCTCCACAGAAGGCCACAGCCTTCAACTTGCCGCCCCAGACGGGGGTGGAGGCAGGCGGCGAGGGAAGCCGGCTCTCGCCGGCCTCTCAGCTCGGCCTCAGACCTCTGGACAGAGACATGCGGGGACGGCCCCGCCCCCGAGGGCCGCGGTACCTTTGTCGCAGGCGAGCAGGAAGAGCTTCTCGTCCAGTGTGGTCTCCTCCTTCACCTGCCGCACGTCCTTCAGCGCCAGGAGCTTGTTGGGGGAGGCCGAGGCCGAGGCCGAGGGGTCAACACTCTGGTACAGCGCGGCCATGGCGGCCACCCCGCACCCGCCGCACTGCGCACGCGCGGCCCTGGCCCCAAGCGGGGCAACCCACCCCATCCCCCGCGGCGGGTGCGGCCTCCTGGCCAGGCGCGGTGCGAGTGAGGGCCTGCCAGTCCCCCAGATCCCGGCTGGGGTGGGCGCCCGCCCCACGCAGGCGCGGTGCTGCATTGTCGTGGCCGTGGGTATCGTCGTCCACCTCTGTTGCGCTGCCCCCCTGCTGCGGGGCGGCGGCGGGAGCTCCCCCCCTCGCCCCAGCGGGAGACCGCGGCCCTGCTGCACGTTGTAACGAAAGCTGGGTAAAAACCACGTGTTCAAATACCAACTTCGTAGCCGGTTGGTTCTGGTGATAGCCACACGCTCATTTTGATGGCGTGATCACTGTTTTGTACTAGATTGCCAACCCTCCCTTATTGCCCGCTAGGCTACGGGGATCAGCATCCGTCTCCCCATGGCTGTTGAAAGCAGTCCGGGAGACTGATTCCCTGGACGGGTTGAACAGTACAATTGACATTATGTTGTGTTGGGAAAAAAAATCATCTGGAATGGCTTCAGTCAGGGTCGGCAACTTGACCTTGTACTCGTGGCCATAGGCAACGTGTAGGGGAGGCACGTACCCCACCTGAGAGTGGCTGCTGCCGATCCCGCCATTGGCATCTGTGAGCAGTCACCGGTTGCCACCCCCTCTCGCTGCAGTCACCTGTGGGCGATCCCCACTTGGCCCACCTCACCCACGACATCACCACCACCGTCTGTGGGCAGTCACCATGTCCCTCCAGCCTCAGGAATACAAGTCGTTTGTGCTTGTGGCTGGTCTTAAAATTTGTGGTATGGCTCTGAATTTCTCGCACAATTGACCAGTTAATTGCAGAGTATATGTGACATCTAGCAGGGACCTCTGTTGCTTCTAACTGGTTTACTAGCCTTGGTGAGGGCGAGGTGACGAGGTTCTAGTGAAACAAGGTTCTGGGTTTGTCTAAAGGAACCAGGATACCAGGAGCATCTGCTTAAATTGGGATTTGGACTCAGGGTGGGCCTGGTCATGGGGAATGAGGCGCAAGGAAGAAACAGTGGAGGAAAGGAGGCAGAAGATGGAGAAAATCAGATAAGGACACAACTGGAAGGGAATAAGGGTGATGGAACTGTCAGTTGTCAAGGTGTGTGAACAACTATCCAGGGACATGGACACAGAGAAGGGGAAAGGGAAGCTAAGGAACACTGAACCAAACCTGATGAAAGAGAAACAGCTAGGAGGAAGAGAGTGAAAGGGAGCTTGAAAAGCACAAGCAAGAAATACCTTTAAAGAGTTGTAAGTGCTTTCTTGATTTTCCCTATGAATAAATTATGGACAAACAAAACATAAGTAGAAAGACAGGAATCGAATTTATTTTCCATGAGGTGATGCACAAGGAAGAGGCCAAAAAGCAGTAAATTGTTTACAAAGGCATCCTCAGGATAAGTGCAATGCATCTGTTTAGCTCCTAATCTGGAAACAAATATTTCTGAAATATTGATCTGTCTTTCACTCAAGTTCATCTTCAACATGGGGTAAGTCCTTATCCTCTGCTTGTTGATTTACTAAGGGATGCAGGACTTTACATCTCTCTCTACTGAGCCAGTCCACAGCATTCAGAGGCATGAAGCCAGATCCTCCGTGGATGTAATATATAATTAACTTTACCTCAACTACAATGATTCACATAAATCAGTCTGGCCTGTTTTCATTTTGGGGGTTTGTTTGGTTTTTTTGGGGAAGAGGGGGGACTGGGGTCATGTTTTACTTTTATTTTATTATTTTCAATTAGTGGAATCACTTGTACTCCTTGGAGGAAACTTTACTCTGGAAATGCAGATTCCTTTCAGATGATTACACACCATCCATTCTGCTGCCTTCAGGTCCTGGAGCCTCAGACTTAATAACCTCTGATGTCAGGCTCCTTATATTGAGAATATTTCAAGACAAACTTGTCAAAGCAATTAGTTTTAGCAAGCTTCAGTTTCACCAAAATAAATGAGGTAAACAAAGAAAAAGTGTGCGTGTGTGTGTGCGTGTGTGTGCGTGTGTGTGCGTGTGTGTGCGTGTGTGTGTGTACGTACACCCACAAAATGCATGCATGCACCCCACACACATGCCTGTATACATACGTACACATCACAATGGCAGAGCAGTACTTTATAACAAGACAATAGGGTTTGGCACTAGGGGTGTGCGAAGCGGGCCATATTCGATTCAGATTCGACCCGATTCAAGGGACGCTCCATACACTCGACCATCTCAGCATTCACAAGCCACCTGGTACCTTGATGTATGTAGAAAAAAAAACATATAAAGCTGTATCTATGTCTGAATCTCTCTGAATTGATTCGGAGGGTTCTGATTCAGAGAGATGACAGGCTCTCCCGATTAGATTCAGGTTTGGAGATTCAGCTGTTGAATCGGGCCAAATCTCCGACAAATCGAATCAGCAACTGAAGCTTCACACAGCCCTAGTTTGTACAGCAACCAGTTGCGAGTCCTGAAGAGAGAAATATTTGTACAACCTACAAGATGTGGACAATGATACTGCAAAGAATTAGTTCTTGTAGTGTGAAGGATGAGTGAAAAACCTCTAGATTCTGTACATCGCAAATAAGGTCTTCCAACCATTGATATGCTTGTCTCTGTATGAATCTGAACTGTCACACATTTTGTGCTAGATCATTCAGTTTCCTGGCTTTCCTTTTGGATATTTTTGCCTGGAACTAATGGTAGAAATCTGGTAATTATCACACGCAAATAGCTTCATATTATAGTCTGGAGGTATATGTGAATTAGCAGAACACACACAAAGGTTCTGTAGCCCATTTCTAATTTTCTGAACTCTCCAGAATCCTCTTATGCACTAAAGACAGAAGCCATATTTCTTCTTTGTGTCAAAGAGGAGAAGCAGTTGACACTTTGGTGCCATCCTAACTGGTGGTCCCAGCCCTAGGATGGCACTGGAGTGAATTTGACACGGGGAGCATGGTGGATGCATCTCTAAGTGGGGAACAGGTTGCCTGTTGTCCCACAAGATCAGTTGACAGGAAAATGCGTTTTCCCACAGTGAAGCAGATCAGTTGTGCCTGGACACTTCCTAGCACGGCTGATCTACTTAATTTGGCAATATCTATTTCTAGCCTTTGAGTTGCTTGTAATGTTTGTATATCAGTTTTTGTCAGATAAAATGACTTTTCTATATATTTTTGACTCTATATTTACTGAGGATTTAGTTCAGAATTTCAATCTCATTTGGCTCATCTTAAAAATTACTTTTATTAAAGTTAAAGATTCCAGTTTTTGATTAAAATTTATAACTACAGAACAAGAATACAAATGCATATTTCAGAGTCATATTAAGAAATACAGCTTTACTGCCAGAAGCCAGTACAGTTTATAAGTTTCCAGCATAAAAAGCAATGACAGACAGACAGATGCATATTTAAAAAATGTTACACTTAAGGCAAGTCCCCAAACTGGGCTGGCCTGCTATCTTTACTGATTTTTTATAGAATACTTTATGAAATTTCCCCTATTTTTTCCAACTGCAATGGTTAAGTCTATGCAAATATTCTAATAATGACATTGTTACATTTTGGTGTACTATTTTCTGTTTCTTTCTTAAATTAGAAGTCATAAAAATAATTTATTCTTCACTTTGGTGAATGTATTCTTGCTTTTTAAGAAAACAGACTATCACATACATCTAAGAGCTTGTTCCCATTCAAAACATTGAACAATTTTATGAGAAATATCACTGTAAATTCCACACAAAATCACAGACTGACCTCACTAACCTCTGTGGCAAGACTCTGATCGACTTCAACAGGAATTGGATCAGACCTATCGAGGTACATGCTGATTTTTGTGCAGTTTGGGAGATTACAATAGTGTTGGAATGCACTTGTGCACAAATATGACCACATGGAAATAACACCCACAAAAATCAAATCATGTCACAGCAGATCCTGAAACAGTATTTTAAAAGCGGGGGATCTTTTTCACGCTATGAAAACAGTACAAGCTAGAATTGATGTACAAGACTTTTTTTGTTTAAAAAAAGCAATACAGCAATGTAATCTTAATGTGGTAATGCACGTATTCTGGATAAAGGATTAACCCATAAATAAATCATATTTTATGAAACCTTAACTAAATATAAACAAGTTATTAAAATGTAATTAATTATCTATCTGTACTTGAGCATACAAATTTATCTCTGGTTTTGCACCCATTAAAACTTCCGAATTCTGTAAACTGTGAGGCATTCATCATACTTATTAGCATGGCAGGAAAAATACTATTAAATATCTTTGCTATATTGCTTTGTTCAGTCCTCTCCCCATCAAGCACGCAAACACCGTCATAACCATTTTTGGCTTCACTTCTACCAGATCATCTGGTAGGGCATATATGCGGGCACCAATCTTTCGAGCAACCGAAATGGCATATCTTGGAAAAACAAGAAAGAAAATGATATAATTATTTTACTGGTATCTACTATGTTTGTGCTGAGACATGCAATAAGAACATATTTAATTAAAGGTTGAGATACTTATTTCCAATTAATATTTCAATTGTAGTGGAAAATGCATTTAATGTAATGGAACAATTAAGTATTAACAGTTGCGCTAAACATTTATTGCGTCTGAGACTGACGTGTGTGTGTGTGTACGTGTGTGTGTGTGTACGTGTGTGTGTGTGTACGTGTGTGTGTGTGTACGTGTACACACAAATGTGAGCTGAGTTGGACTATTAATATCAGCAGCTTCAGTACAGCGTTGCCAGGTTATGCCAGTAGTAAATTTGGTCACTACTGTTAATCTGCCATAAAAAAAAGTTTTTAAAATGTTACTATTTAAAATGTTATGTCCTCATATTTAAAAGCATGAATACATCTATGTTCATACATCTGTGTGTTAAAGTATAAGAAAAATCACAAACTTGTTCATTGCACAAGAAAATATAAAATATTTAACAGCTTACTTAGCATTATTCAATTTGTCTTCATCAGAAAGATCTTCTCTCTTGACAATTTCTTGACGAATTGCTTTTGGTGCAATGGCATCTATTAAATCTAGGACAGGCAAACTAGTACTAATAGAACTGTCCTAGAAGAAAGATTTAATTAACATAAGTTAACAGATATATTTTGATCATCCTAACAGAACTTTTGTCAGGTAACCCAAAAAGCTACAGCAACCATATCTACTTCTAAATAAAGTTAATAAGATACATTATTGTTTTATTCTACCCTTTTTTTCTTATATCAGTCCTAACTATGTTTTCCTTGCCTGTGTAAAAGTTGCTCTGAAGTCTGTGGGAGTTTCAGAGAGATCACAATCCATGCATTTCCTCTTTCACTCCTTACATTCTCTATATTTCTGCTATTAAATGAATGTAAATAGCTTGTTTTAATGACAAGGAACAATTTTTTAGCACCTTCTTAATCTTGCATCCTATTCTTATTTATGTGCAAGCTATACAATGCTGACCATCTTAGTGGTTAAAAGAGTACATTGATGTAATGTGAAATGATTCTTCCTCACTCTTACAGTTTATGTATTTTGGGAGCTTAGTCTTTGGGGACTATTGAACTGGGCTCAGTTTAGGATTCAGGGAGGAAGGCAAAGGTGACCTAAGATCTACTGCAATTTTTGCCTGGCTGCCACCACCAGAATGGACTAAATCGGGCAGATCCAGTGATATAATGTAGCAGTGTTCTGGATTTTATATCACCTAGCAATTCTTGGTGTTACCCAGGGGACATTTTAATCTGACCAGGTAAACTAGCCTTATGGCCTCTCTGTATTGCTAGTTTGAACTGGAGTATCTAATCTTTTCCTAAACAGTTCAAGTTTCAATTATATCTTGTGTGTCTCTGTAGAATATTATACAATTCTATAAAAGGAAGTTCAAATATCACTCACCCCCTATCACATTTACAGAGCTCAGGCTCTACAAGTCTTCTGATCCCTCCCTCTAGAAGGAATGTAAACTTGTGCTATGTTATGCCATCACTGATTCCCCAATGCAGCTATGCACTGCTACCCATTCAAGCAAATTTTAACGCCACAGTAGGAAAGTTGACATTTTACAAACCAACAGTAATATCTACAGCAATTTGTAATACTCTGTAGACTCCTATTCCAGGAAATCATGCTGCATCATAGAATCATAGGAAATTAGCACTGGAAAGGACTTCAGGAGGTCATCTTGTCCAACCCCCTGCTCAAAGCAGGACCATCCCTGACTACACTGTCCCAATCAAGGCTTTGTCTAGCCAGGTCTTCAAAACTTCCAAGGATGGGGAGTTCACAACCTTTCTGGGTAGCCTGTTCCAGTGTTTTACCACCCTCCTAGTGAGAAAATTCTTCCTAGTATCTAACCTAAGCTTCCCTCGTCACAACTTGGGAACATTGCTCCGTGTTCTGTCATCTGCCACCAGTGAGAACAGTCTACATTCATCCTCTTTCGAACACCCCTTCAGGTAGTTCAAGGCTCCTATTAAATCCTCTCTGTCTTCTCTTCTCTAGAAGAAATAAGACCAGTTCCCTCAGCCTCTCCACGTAAGTCATATACCCCAGCCCCCAAACCATTTTTGTTGCCCTCCACTGCACTCCATCCAATTTGTCCACATCCTTTCTGTAGTGGGGAGCCCTAAACTGAACACAGTATTCCAGAGATGTGGCCTCACCACTGCTGACTAAAGGGGAATAATCACTTCCCTTGCCCTGCTGGCAGCGATCCTATCAATGCATCCCAGTATGCTGCTAGCCAAGGGCCCACTGTTGGCTCATATTCAGCTTACTGTCCACTGTAACCCCCAGGTCCTTTTCTGCAGAGCTGCTGCTCAGCTAGTCAGCCCCAGCCTGTATTGGTGCATGGGATTGTTCCATCCTAAGTGAAAGACTTTGCACTTGTCCTTGTTGGACCTCACGTGAATCTCTTTCGGCCCAATCCTCCAATTTGTCTAGGTCACTCTGAATCCCAGCCAGAACTTGCAGTGTACCTACTACTTCCCACAACTTGGTGCAATTTGTAAACTGTCTGAGGGTGCACTCTATGCCATCTTCCAGGTCGTTGATGAAGATATTGAACAAAACTGGACCCAGGACTGACCTCTGGGGCACTCCACTTGATATCAGCTGCCAACTAGATATCAAGCCATTCATTACTATCCTCTGAGCCTGATGTTCCAGCCACCTTTCTACCCACTTTACAGTCTGTTCATCCAGCCCATACTTCCTTAGCTTGCCTGCAAGAATGTTGTGGAAGACCGTATCAAAAGCTGTGCTAAAATCAAGGTATACCACATCTACCGGCCTCCCCGCATCTACAGAGCCAGCCACCTCACCATAGAAGGCAATTGGGTTGGTCAGAAATGACTTGCCCTTGGTGAATCCCTCAGCTCCTCTGGGTGCATCCTGTCTGGTCCCATGGACTCGTATATATCCAGCTTTTCTAAATAGTCCCCAACCTGTTTTTTCACTGTTGGCTGCTCACTTCCTCCCCAAACTGTGCTGCCAAATGCAGTACTCTGGGAGCTGTCCTTGCCTGTGAAGACTGAGGTGAAAAGGCCACTGAGTACTTCAGCCCTTTCTGCATTGACTGTCACTAGGTCACCTCCCCAATTCAGTAAGGAAGCCACACTTTCCCTGATCTTCCTCTTATTATTGGCATATTTGTAGAAACCTTTCTTGTTCTCCTTCACACCTCTTGCTAGCTGCAACTCCAATTGAACTTTGGCCTTCCCAACTTTATTCCTTCATGCCCAAGCAATACTCTTATACTCCTCCCTAGCTTTTTGTCCAAGTTTCCACTTATGAACTTCTTTTTTTGTGATCTTGTTTACTGAATAGTTCCCTGCTAATCCAAGCTGGTCTTCTGCTGCACTTGCTAGTCTTCCTGCACATCGGGATGGTTTGTTCCTGAACTCTCAGTAAAGGCCTTCCTTCTCATCTCTGCCTAACAGTGTTCCCTAACAATGGTCCTCTGATGAAGCTGATTTAGTTTGTGCATAAGATATTTTAAAAGTGCTTCTACTGCTTAGGAATTTTTTTTAACTTAGAACATTTATTTACAATTAAAAAAATACTAATTTGAAGTAGGATTGGGCTTTGAAAATTAGGGCACAAACTAAGTCAGCAGTGCAGGAAGGATTCTCTTCTTTTACAAGTTAAAGAGGGAAAACATCTGATGCAGGGATCTACAGAGCAACAGCTTCAAATTAGTATTTTTTTAATTGTAAATAAATGTTCTAAGTTAAAAAAAATTCCTAAGCAGTAGAAGCACTTTTAAAATATCCCAAAATTAAAAAAACTCATGCCTGAACATTTCTGTGAGTATATTTGCATCTATATCCCCTACTCCTAATGGAACTATTTCCAGTTTATGGCTTGGTCTTGTCTATTTTTAGGATTCAGATGGTACTTTGAACTAGCCCCAGAGTTCTGCATTTTGTTTCTAAGATGCTGAAATGTACTTTTTCTTATCCTTAAAATAGCAGGTGATTCCTTCCAATTGTTAAAGCAGATGAACAGCCTGGAGTAGGATGACATCACGTGATCTATCAGCAGGAACTGCTGAAACAGTAAAGCAGTTGGCTCCATTCCCTTGGAGGCTCAGCATGTAATTCATGTGATGCCCTTACCATCAGATTAATCCTAATATTTCAAGTTCACCCTAATTCCCATACTGCCACCAAGCTCTCCGTACATTTAAATGTAGCACTTCATTAGTTTATTTGAATAGATTAAACTGATGAGTATCTCTCCCAAGTTCATAGGTCATAACATCTTTGTAATTTTAATTACTTGGGCAGGTGCTAATCTAATATAACTCCACTTTTCCTGTCTACAATGAATTTCAGTGACCTGTGACCCTCTTTATCTTACACAAAGATGCGATTTCATTTTGTTAACCCAAGACTAGGAAGAAAAATACAACTCTTTTACAAACATACACATTTATTTAAGAACAGTTATTTAAATGGGGAAAAAATGTCTCAAGTAATATTATCCTAGATCTAAAATAAGACACTTCCAAAACATTTCTCAGTAGTTACCACTGCCACATCAACCAGCTTTTCAGTTTTTGGGCTCTGTGTTTCCAGCTGTGGCCCAGATAGACAACTAACTATTTGAACATGTGTTGAGGCTGCATACTTAAAATGCAGTTGTATTTCTCTGTGTAATTATTAGTCCATCATTTCTAAAAAGATAGGTGATGATATACTTGACACGTGAGATTTTGCAGATGAGACACCTCTTAAATGCAGATGTATAAACTTTGTCTCTCAATTTTCTCTTTATTCATTTTGGAAATATATTAGCCCAGTGCCCTTATGAAGCACAAGTTGACATCAATCTATTTTATTAGGTCAGCTGTTTCTCAGCACCAGTGCTAGCACAAAACAGTGACTGGTTTGTTAGCTACCACCTGCTCCCTCTGCTGGTTCTCCTACACCCCAGAAACAAAATAATTCCAGAGGGCTGAAACATTTCAAAAGTTCTGAGAACCCATTTCAAACCAGGATGCACTTTCAAACTTGTCTTCTAAATTTGTACACAAAAATTACTAAGTGCCCAAGCCCTCCAACTGCATATACAGCTGAGGGAGGTGTTTAGTTGCTGCAATTTGTGCTGTGAAAATTATAGACAAATTAGAAGCCCTTTTAAAAATTAGACCTTGTTGATCTTACATAGATTTCATAGGGCTGGAAGGGACCTCGGAAGATCATCAAGTCCAGCCCCTGCCCAAAGGGCAGGAAGTCAGCTGGGGTCATAGGATCCAAGCAAGATAAGCATCTCCATGCTACTCCAGACCTTGGGGGCTTGGACAGTAAAGAAATTCTTCCTTATGTCCAGCCTGAATCCATCTTGCAGTAGTTTATAAACGTTCGACCTCGTCATCCCTTGGGGCGCTCTGGTAAACAAACGTTCCCCCAGATACTGGTGGTCACCCCTGATAAACTTATAGGTGGCCTTCAGATCACCCCTGAGCCTGCGCTTTTCCAGGCTAAAGAGCCCCATGGCTCTCAGCCTGTCGTCGTAAGGTCTGTTTTCCTGACCTCTGATCACGCGCATGGCTCTTCTCTGGACTCTCTCAAGCTTCTCCACATCCTTTTTGAATTGTGGAGCCCAAAACTGGATGCAGTACTCCAGCTGCGGCCTCACCAAGGCCGAGTACAAGGGGAGAACGACGTCCCAGGATTTTCTTGAGAAGCATCTATGGATGCAAGCCAGCGTTTTGGTCGCTTTAGTAGCTGCAGCATCGCATTGCAGGCTCATGTTCATCTTGTGGTCATCACTGACCACCAAGTCTCTTTCTTCCATAGTGCTAGCCAGCGTAACACTGCTGAGCCTATAAGGATGCTGCAGGTTTTTCCTCCCAAGGTGGAGGACCTTGCATTTTTCGGTGTTAAACACCATCAGGTTCTCGTCCGCCCATTTGCTGAGCCTGTCCACGTCAGCTTGGATCACCCTCCTGTCTTCTGGTGTGGATGCTTTGCCCCAGTGTTTGGAGTCATCAGCGAACTTGGCCAGCCCGCTTCTGACTCCAATGTCCACATCATTAACGAAGATGTTGAACAATATGGGTCCAAGAACAGAGCCTCTGGGGACCCCACTGGTCACAGGGCACCATGATGATAACCAGAGACTCGTCTGATTTTTTAAAAAGTTTTCAAGACAGTTTTGTAAACTTTTAGACAACACATTGTATTCCAAACCCAAGTCCTATTGTACTAACTGAAGTTAGTTGATGCACCATTATTTCCTCATATAATTTTTTACTTACCTTGAAGCTGGTAATTGAGGTTTTTTTCTTTGCATTTGCAAGTGTTTGATTAACCCATTTAATAACAACTTCATCATTTACTTTTTCCCCTTCTCCAAGGTCTGATAGTACTTTCAAAGTATACCTGTAACAGGAAAAGTCGTTTAAAAATTATTTCTATAATTCTCTTCTGTTCCAAAGTTTTCATCTTTACATTTAATTTTTGCTATGTTAATTATTTTGGTACTCTATTTTTCTACTTCTATATTATTACTATCACAAAAATAAAATAACATTCCAGATTCTAATATTCACTGTCACATTTTTTTCTATATTTATTTTCCTTGTCCCATCACTAGTTTCACAAAATGAAGTGAAAGGATTCATCATTCTGGAATCAAGTCACTTCCAAAAGTAAGTTAAAAAGTAGTTTTAGGTAATCTTCATCCCTGAATCCCCACACCGTTTTTGTGGTTTTACAATTACACTTCATCTTATAAAAATAATCTTGTGGCAGGGCACTGTGCATGCCTGCCACTTTAAGGCCCTGGAGCTGGCAGCCTCCAGGTGCCTAATAAGGGCAGCCATTTTAGGCTCAGTGATGCCCACATAAACAAGGCAGTTTGGCTGTTGGAGGTCAGGCAACAACATGGCCTGGCCAGAGAGCTGCCAAGTTTCATCTGGAAGTAAGGGAGGAGTTGTAGGGTATGGTAAGGTGGCTCTTGGTCCTGGGCATGACCTAAAACTGCACCCTGCTGGGAGTGGGTGGCCTGGTGGGGCTATCAGTGGCATGGGAGCCCCCAGGAAATGCCAGGCCAGTTACCACCCTGGTGAAAGGTGGGTTGGGGTGCCTTAACCCCTAGCCCCCACCACCGGGTGGGTTCCCCCTTTATGTGTAGGGCCCAGGGGGTGGACCCCTAGAGAGAGTGAGGGGCTAGAGACTTGAATACTGATTGAGAGAGTACCCTCGACTGACCCATGCTGGGGCCAGGACCAGACCGGTCAAAAGGGCCAGGGGCCCACCGCAAGGGATGCCCCAGAGCCAAGGGCCAGGGGTTTTGACTGGCCTGGAGGTGGGCCAGGGCTGGTAACCAAAAGTCCCAGGAGGGGACCACACCTGAGAGGGGAAAATGGCTTCAGGGAGCTACATAGCCTATATGAAGGCAGATGAGGCTGCCTGATGAAGGGAATCTGTTTGGGGTTCAATCAGAAGGAGTCTGGGGCCCAGTGTGGGGCCGGTGATGACAGGAACACCTAGATGCCATCTGTGAGGCTTGGGCTGTGGTGTAGGGAAGGAATAGAGCTGCAGATAGCTGCCTCTAGCAGCGGGGCAGAAAATGGGCAGCCTCCCACTTAATTGCATCTATTAATTAATCAATCAAAGACCAAGGCATGGTGGGCAAGAAAGCAGGTGGTTAGCCCAAGAACAGGTGGGTGGGCCACATGGAGACCAGTCCCAAGCCGGCCCCCCATTACAAATTCTTACTGAAAACAACATACCAGAACATAAAGCAGAATACTGTGGATTTTCCTGCTTTTCCTTTTAGTTGGACTGTGTTTTAACAAATATATAGATCTCAATTCGGCAATAGGAACCTCTAGTTTCAATCACTGCCTCATACTAAATACCACAGAGGGAGAACAATGAAACTCATATTCTCTTTTATGTCATAATTTTTTCTAAGAAAAACCAAAGTGTGTACGTGTGTGTGTACACCCCCTGAAACATTTTTGTTTCCATCCATGTAGCATGTTAAGCTGCAGAGGAAAAAGGAAATAAATTTTGAACGATGTTTGAAAAGAAAAAGGTTATTCTCTCAGGATATCTAAGAAAACCATCCTTTGATCCACATAATTTTTATTCTGTTCCAAGTCAGTTTACTATTTGTAGTATATTTTCTCAGTAGTTTTGCAGGTTTATGAAATTCCATAGTATGAAGCAAATCTTGTGTGCATATAAGTTGTCAAAGCTCCACTGACACCAATAAAGAAATACAATTAAATTGCTTTCAGCAGTGTTGTAGTCTCACTTGTTGGTGTCAGTGGTGTTTTTGGAAGCCAGTCAAAAGAAAAAACAGCTTATGAGGACAGAAGATATTGTAGACCTATGACTATTGACCTAAAAAGAGGCCAAAAGTTTATTCTCTTATTGTTTAGGTGCATTAACTACCATAATGAAAAATGGTAGGAATACAAAATACCCAATGTTTTAATTTGAAAAAAAACAAAGCAAATTAAATTACTTCAGCTACAGCCTGAACACCTCTGCAGCCGGATGAGGCTGGGCCATGTCCCTCCACACACCAGGCTGGGCCACATCTCTTTTCCCTGTGGGGCCAGATTGGGGCTGGCTCAAGCCCCCTTCCTCCCCCCATGCAGGGGCCAGGTTGGGGCTGGGCCAAGCCCCCTCCCTCCATGGGGCCAGACCACACCTCTTTCCCCCCACAGGGCCAGGCTGGGGCTGGACCATGTTCCCTTTACTTACCTTCTACAGGGCTGGGCCATGGGCGTTCCCCCCTCCCCACCCCTTAGTGGAGTCAGAGCACCACTGATTTACACCTATAATTTGCAATCTTTACTACAGCTGTGGAGTTTAGCTCTCTAATAAGACTTTCAGCTTGACTGCCAACAGGTGAAAGACTTCCCACTATTTAAAAATGAAGATGTAGAAGTTCTGCATGCATATAACAACTGTAACAACTCCTCACCTTCTCATCAGTTGCCATACCAATGCCAAGGTCAGAGTTCGATTGCCCTCATTTAAGTCCTGTCCACCAATACCAACTAGGGAGAATTTGGCCTTTGTCTTCCCAAGTTCCACTGCATAATTACAATTCTCAATCTAAGAAAAAAAAAAGTGTAACCTCTATGTACATGAAAAAATATGTTATCACTAACACACACAGACCTAGAATCTACTCATAACGTGATCTAGTTTACCCTAACTTTACCCACACCAACACTGGGTTGATAGGAGAGTTATTAAAGTACAGACTTTCAGTTTCAACCAGGAAAGTTGCCTTTCTCCCAGTATAAACCAAAAGCATGTAAATGTTCAGGTTTCTTCTCATAAAGCAAAAATGTAAACTTCAGTAGCAAAATAACCCAACAACAACCAGGATTAAATTACTCCTGGGAGACTGAACGTTTACTGGTTTACATCCTCCTGGGGATCAAAAGGAGTGGAGCTAGGAAAGGTTCCTGGCCTTCCTGAGACTGGAGTTACCCCCCCACATCATCTTTAGATGGGGGTATCTGTTTCCTCCTGTTATAGACTGGGAGGTGAGGGGAGCAGCAGCAGCCACTATTCCTTGCTTTTCCCCCCCAACTGGGCTTCCCTTGCCAGTTCTGCTGGCTTTCCTTTGCCGCCCTGCCACCCAGCTGTGCAGGAATTTAGAAGCTGGCAGCCAGGAGTGGGTTTCTGACTCAGCTCCTGCCCCACCACCCAGCTGAGAAGTAGGGAGGCAATTTGAAAGCTACAGGGTGAGATCAAGGCTCAGGGACCACCCCCCCCCACATGGCAGGTTTCAAACCACTGCCTGCCAATCAGCTGAGTGGTTGGGCAGCAAGAGGGAACTGAGAGCCAAGTTGGGGAAACCCTAAGCACACCTGGTTCCTAGCTTCTCCAGATTTTAAACTACTGCTCAGCTGAGTGGTCAGAAGCAAGGAGAAGCCAGAGGTGTGCAGAGGCTTTCCCTAGCCTGATTCCTGGCTCCTGACCCCTCCAGCTTCCCCTTGCCACCTGTGCTACCCAACTGACCTAGTGTAGAGCGGGGCAAGGCAAGATGCTGCAGCAGCCTTGCTACTGTAGCAAATGCTCCAACCTTGCCCTGCACTGTTCTGGGTCAGAGCAGAAAGGACACCAGAAAGCACACACTGACCTTTTTCATGTTACCACCAAGTGCAGGATATGGAGGTTTGTTGACCTGGTTCCAGTCTACTGGCACACAAATCATCTCATATAGTTGGAAAATTATTAAGGCATTCGAAAGATCCCTAAATCAGAGTAGGCAGAACAACAACTGCTTTTAATTATAGAAATGTATGTTTACACTGAATATATTAAGTTTCTCCTGCAAGTGAATTTTTGAAGCTAAAAAACAGAGTGAGAAAACAAATATCCACTCAAATAAAAACGGCACAGAATTTGAACGTTTCTCTACATTCAAACCTTCTAGTCTTTGACCCTGCCCATATCTTAAATTATATTAATTCTTCAGTTGTCTTTTTCTCTCAGCTCTCAAATGTAATTAATAAAACTACAGACTTTCCCCAGGTATTGAATTTATAAGTTCATGTGAGGAAGTGACCATTATAGCTGAGGTTGCCAAACCATTTTTAATATAACCGTCTGCTTTCATTCATTCTGAACTTTCATACTTGGTTTCTGCCAGAGGTGGATTTAGTTTAAAAGATTAATCAAAACAAGTATATTAATCTAGACCAGAAGTTCTCAAACTGTGGTCCACAAGCTCCATTCAGGTGTTTGCAGAAAGGTTGCAGAACAATAGAGAATATCTGTACTTGTAAGGTAAGACTACTGATATTAAAATATGAGTTGTGTGCTTTGATTTGTAGAACAAAAACAAGTTTATTAAGGAGTCCACCGAGACCCTCAGCAATTTTCAAGCAGTCCACAAAAAAAAGGTTTGAGAACCAGTGATCTAGAATATGAAAAGACTTAAGAAAATTTTTAACACTGCCATATCACTTGCAACTCTTCTCCAACTATTGTGCCAATATCTACATTTTCATTGTAGTTCCAAATGTTTTAAAAATTATCCTAACTTCCTGCATGATTTATTAAAATAATGGATAACAGTTTACACTTCTCTATATTTCTTCCAAGGATGGTAAAAAAATTATAACCATTAATTTAGGTCCCTGGCAGATGTTCAGTTAAAGGCATGATGGGATCCGATCTGTGATCTGAACAACTGTGCCCTATTGGCAGTGCAGTGGGGGGATCTAAGTCCCAGCACAAGGCAAGTAGCAAACCCAGGGGTGTAACACACCCAATTTGGAGCACCAGTCACCTGACCAACACTCCCAGCCTCAGGAATGCATCAGAGTGCCCCAAAACTAAGAGCACTGATCAGCTGCTGGAACTCCCAGTCTTGAAGGAGCACCAGAGTTAAGAGCTCCAATGTCCTCCTGAGGCAGAGGCTTTCCCCATGTTCCACTTTAGGTGCAACTATTTTAAGTAAACTTGTTCTTTGCTTTATCATACCATTAATGGCCAAGTTAATACTTGAGGTTGATTAACTGGTTAATCGTATCTTAAGTGTAACAAACATCTACCAAGGCCTTAGTCTCACAGTATTCTTTGCAAGGCAGCTTAGGTATCATTATGCCCTTTTCACAGGTGAAAGTGAAGGCTTCTTAGATTCCCTGTCCAGCACAACTTTCCATTGCAGGACCTTCCAAGATTGTTCCACTAGTAGAATGGTAGAAGACTACCTTAGATAAGGTACTGGCAACAATCAACCTTTTAATCATGTCATAGCATTGTCTCAACTAATGCTCAACTATGGGAATATCGTTTTTCTGGTATTTGTAACTTTGCCTCTTATAAATGTAATGCTTTACACTAATTCTCTTAACATGTTTAATTTGCTGCAGAAACGGATACTGCTTTCTGTGGTATGAAGCCAACTTCTCTCAAAACAGTTAATCTCAATGGTATCATCATTCCTCACATTCCACATCAGGTTTCAGGTAATGCTCAAACCAGAAGGTTTGACTGATAAATATCAACAATCAATTTCAACTAGCCAGTATCACTACTTGTAAATTCAGTAAGACAGGCTCACAATTTGATTTTTACTTCTTTTTTTATTACTAATTTAGGCAACATTAATTTCCATTATTTATAGTTTAACTACTTTACTTTCTGGATACAGTTTTTTCCCCCTTGTGGTCTACAGATGTTTACTTAATTGATGCTTAAATATTAAAGAAAAAACCCAGAAATCAAAATTTTACCTGTACAAGTGGTTAACATATGGAGTTACACCCAAAGAATTCATCCAGTTTCGGAAGGTCCTCTCTTCTTTACTTTCACCTATAGACATAAATAGCTGCATATTACTTTCTTGTGGGCAACATTTTAATGGACAAGGTTTAGATCAGTGGTTCCCAAACTCTGACAGATTGCTCACCACCAACTTAAAACAATACAACCTTAAATACCGGCAGCAGATTTTTCAGTTCAACCTTAAGTACCACCAGAAATTTTGTCATATAAAGTAATTATAATAAATCTGTTAACTGAGAGGTTGTCTACATACCACTAGTGGTATGCTTACCACAGATTGGGAACCACTGGTTTAGATCATTTATACACATAAATTAGCAAGAGTTACTTTGAATAATTTCTTTGCTTCCTGTTTCTGTGAAAATGCATGCATCTCTTTCACAGGAGTATTATCTCCTAGCCAAGGAATGGAGAAAGTCCTGTCAAATGCAGGATTTCAGGGCTCTAGGTACAAGGCCATGAGCATCACAGGGAAATATATGAGAACATAATTTTCTGTGCAATTCCATACAATACCAAATAAAACATACTATGGAATGTATTTTACATTCTTCTGCTCTGTATTGAGCAGTAGGCTGTGAAGAACAACAACAATGCTAACCATCAATGAAGACCACTGGAATTCAGTTTGATTGGTAACATTAAATTTGTTTTAAATGCCATTTTATTGTCATGTGTTTTAGTGCAAACATTGCCATAGTATCTTAAGCTCCAGTCTATATAGGAGGGGTGGCCAGCCTGTGGCACTTCAGAAGTTAATATGCGTCTCCTTGAATCTCTGCACAAGCACACAACGTGACAAAGGCTATGGAAGCTGGTCACCATGTGCTTGTGCAAAGATTCAAGGAGAGACACATTAACTTGTAAAGAACTGCATGTGCCTCTGGAGCTGCAGGTTGGCCACCCTGCTATATAGCACTCCAGCATCTACTTCTGCATTCAGCAATTTCCCAGGAAGCATTCTGGAGACTTCTACAGTGCACTAGACCTCTCCTTTTCAATCTGCATTGCTGCAGACTCAAAGACAATGCTGATTAGATTTGTGAAGCTATTTTCACAATAGCTAAGTAAGTCTTACAAATTTAAGTGGTAGTCTGGCTTCTGGGGAATCCACAAAATTCTGTTTAAATATGTCTGAGCATCAAACAGTTTTGTATTGTTCTTTCTTTCTTTGAGTGTGTTTGTTCAGGCACCATTGGTCAATAAGACATCTCTAACAGAAGGATTTGCTTCTCTGCTTTATTTTCTATGTACTACTTCTAAGCCAGGGTAGGCAACCCCTGGCACAGGTGCCAGAGTGGTACTTGAAGGTATTTTGCTTGGCACACGTGCCTCTGGGTGGATGGTGGGGAAGGGGCTGGGGCTACACGGCAACAGAAAGGACTGGGCCCCTCTTGGCTCCTCCATCATCCACCCAGGGGCACATCAACATCTTACAAGCTGAAGTTGTGAGTGGTTTCAGCACTCTGCCCAAAAATGTTGCTGATTCCTGTTCTAAGCTATCCTTCACCTTGTTCTGTTATTAGCCAGATTTCTTCTCTCTGTGGTGTTAACATATTAAGTGACTCCTTTGGTAGTATGTAGTACTGGTAATAACTTACCTTGTAGAACTTTCCACTTTGAACCTCTGTTATACTGTTTGCAATTTAATACTGCACACGCCATTTGCTCCTGTGCTTTTTTGTAAATAGAACATTTAAGAAATAACAAGAAACACTTAGGCCAAAAACACATGCCAGGAAAACACTATACTTCCTGCTTTACTCATCTGACCTACACAGCAGAAATTACATATTCTTCTCTTCCTGGCCCGTTTCTAATTGAGAGAGAAATTCCCCCCAAAAAGTGGAAAAATAGCTTCCAAGAACTCAAACATAGCTTGAGAAATCCTCATTCAAAATATGCCATCTCCCTTCAACTCTCCACAAAACAACTCTATGAGCTTGTTTAATCAAGTTGACATGATGCAAAAAACCCCTCTCATTTAGTAATGCAATTAGGGCTGACTGGAAGATAATAATTCAATTTCATAGCAACTTTTGAGATTTCATAAAATACAGCCTTGTTTTTCTTTGGAACAAGAGCTCTCTGAACGTTCTCAAGAAACAGAATCCGTTTTTGGATTAAACTCTCAGTTTTTTTTAATGTTGGTCTTTTTTTCTTTGATTAGAAGTGCCAAATGAGCAGGGATCCAGATTTTATATTCACCATGGAAAAATGCATAACAGACCTTCTCTTTTAAAAGGAGAAAAACACAAACCTTCTTCAATGGAGAAAAATGTGGGAAGCAGCAGGTTTCCCCTTGCAGACTGGCAGAGGCATCAGTGTGAGGGCTGTAGCTTCAGTGTGAGGGGCAACATTGTATCAAGGCTGCTCAGCTCCACAAAGCAGGGGGGACAGCCACAGCTGGACCTGCATCCTAGTTAGCAAAGGGGACCTCTAAACCAAAATATGTCCACACTGCTTTAAAGTTGTTAAATCTCTGTCTCTCTCATATCTATCCATCCACCTATCTATCCATCTATGGCTTAGCCTGTCTCTCTGTAATGATCTTTAAATGTCAATAGCTTGAAAACTGCAAGAGATAGTTACTGAAAAAATGCTAAGGTTTAAGAAAGAAATTTCTCTGAAGACAAGTGTTCTGTCAGGATGATCCCAACTTCCAGAATTGGGAAACAAGTCAGGGGTCAGGGCTGTTTCTACTGAGCTCGGTGTGGGGAGAAGAACAGAGGGAGGGGCCAGCTGATAAAAACGAGAGCTGGGCAGAGGCATGAAGCAGTAGGTGAGCAGCAGCAGCCCTGTCCCGAGCCCCAAACAGAGGCACAGAGCTCGCCTGCCCTTGCCCAGCAAAGAGGCATGCAAGTGGTAGTTGGGCAGCAGCATGGGTGGGTGCGCCTCCAGCCCACTGGATGAGATCAAGTGAAGGAAGGGACTGGTATCTTCAAATGTTCAGCTTATTTTATTAAAGTTTCATAAATATTCAATTTACTTAATAAATACAAAAAGAAAAATGTTTGTTTTTGTTATTTGAAATTCATCTGTCATTCTTGATGGGCAAGTCAGTAGTAAATCAATAAAACATGTTCAACAGATACTAAATATATAGTGGCGTTTCATTTCATCATGGAAAAACATGTATTTTGGGTTTATTAGAGAATTTAGGATTTTTTTAAATCTGAGAATATGCAATTTTTAGGCACAGAAAAACCAGAATCCCTGCTAATGAGGCACTTCTGAAACCTTCCCCTTTAAAATAGATATATAGAAACCAATACTTCTCTGTAAAATGTTTCAGCTTTGACAAAACAGAATGTTGTAGGAAATACTGTAGCAAAAGTTTTGTTGAAAATATTACAACCAGTTCCAACTAAAATTAGTGCCATTAAACAAAGCTTTAAAAACCCAGTAGTAGAATTAATTTTGTGAGGTCTTTCATTGTTCAAGTAAGGATTCCTGTTTTCAAACTATAATTTTACTGGTAAAAAAAAATACTGATTTGGTCTCTGTATTTCTGTTAGCTCTGCTTCACTTCTTGTCAATTTCAGCGTGTTGGGAAGAAGGGGAGCAGGAAGGAGAATCAGGGATTCTCACAAATTGCTGAACATGGATTTTATTTCCAATATCTTCTGTAAAAATTATCAAAGCTACAAGGATTATATACTTTGTATATGCAAGTCTTACATAAGGGTTTGTTTCTTCCCTAGCCAGCATGAGGGTAAAAAGCCCCTCATCTTGGATTAGAGTAAAAGCAGACAGAAGGGCAGGTGGCTGCTGTGGCTCCAGCTCTGGTTCCCAAACTGGGCTTGGCATTGGAGCTATAGCAGCTGCTTGACCTTTGTCTCCCATCTCTGCCCTTGTGGCACCTAAACCCCCAATCTAGGGAGCTACTGTTGCTGCAACCACTGCTGTATGGCTGAGCCAGGGTCAGAGCTACTGTGTGCTCTATGCCCCAGGCTGGTGTGGGGCTGGAATCATGCCTACCAGTAAGCAGGAGGGGAGTTGTGGGGAGAAGAGGGATCAGAGGCTGCAGGGGACAGGCAGAGGGGGCAGAAGCTGTGTGGGAGGGCAGGGGCAGTAGGGAGCAGGCAGCAATGGAGGGGGCTTCTTGCCCCTCTGCACCTGTCTGCCTGCTGCTTCCCCCCCCCACCGTACTATTATAGGGAGAATTTATGACAATCCTCCAATAATTAGTTTCTATACAAGGAAAATTGTAATGAATTTATACATTTTCCAAGTATAGAAACTAATTGTTGAGGGGTTATCTTAAAGTCATTTTCTATTTGTGTAAATACAGTACTATCCAAGTTGGCAAGCATACACTTCAGAAGAATAGCAATTACATATTCTGGAACTAAATCCCATTTTGGATTAGTAGAAATTGAAAAACCTACCAATCTTTTGTTTAGTTTGGTGTAACTTAAAATTGATCCCTGGCTGAAATATATTTTTAGGGACACTGGTACATTCCAAAGACAAGAGCCAAAATCTTCCAGGAAAACTTACTTAAGAAAGTATAGATAGGAAAGGAAAAATTAAGCAACTTCACTCACACTAGGAGTCTTAAACTGCATGCTGAACACTGCCAAAGGAATCCAAACTAGACAAACAGAAGCAATAGCATGCAAGTTGAAAAGTGCACTTCTGACTAGCAGGAATTCAGGAACTAAAAATAGCTCACTATATTTAATATGCCACCTTAAACAAGTTCTTTTCTCATGAAGCACAGAAGTATTCCTTAGTTTTTAAACCGGCTAAAAACTGACCAGGTTTTTTTTCCTGTTCAAAAAGTACCTTGTGGTCACTTCTGGGGCACGTATTCTGCTGTGTGGTATGGAAGAAGCCAACCCAAGGGAAACCCACAGAAACAGGGCAGAGAAATGAGCTGAAGGAAAGTGGTACTACATGACCACCTCTTGCCTCTTTGAAACCACTATTCGAGGCAGCTGAGGGAGGAATATCCAAGATGACAGGCAAAGAAGTCTGAGGAGTAGCTAATCAATAAGGTATAATTAATTTCATAGGGCAATAAAACTTCATATGCAATTTGTATAAGAAGTTATTACAGCGCAGAACAGAAGTCAGTCCCCCAGGGAATTTGACCTGCCAATATGCCAGCAGCAACAGCTCAGCAAAGTAAAAAAAAATTACAGGGGTAGGTGTGTATGAACCAAGATATAACATGTAGGGCTTCTACTTTCCATATACAAAGCCTCAAGTAAGAACTAGAAGCTTTGACCCCTCTTGCTTTTCTTTGCTGCTAGATCTACCTCCAAAGGAAAGAATGTATTAGAATAGCAGTCAGATAAGAACTATGCAGCTATGAGGGACCCATTTCTATTCTGCGAAGTTTTACATAAGAAGGGGACTATTGGGTCCTAAGTAAATACTTCCAAAGGGTCTGTCTGTCCTTCACCTGTGCGCCAATCATAATGAACACTGAACATTATCCAAGTATTTGGAGAGGGGGACAGAATTAAAGTTGAACCACCTCTCAATAACCTAAACTAATGCTAAACGATGCAGCAAGGGACAGGCACATTTTCACTGTGCTCTTTCTGGGGGAAAGAAGTCAGTCACTAAGAGGAAAAACAGGACTTTATTTAAAACAGGCAAATTAAGCCTCTCATGAAGCTATGTATTTAAAACCTTAACCACTTTCCAGCCCACATCCTTAGCTTCAGATTCTTGAACCTGGAAAGGTCACACAGTGAGATAATTTCACATAAGAAGTTAGATGGCATTTATACAGAGTTGTGGAAGGCTTGACCATATTATAAGTGCATTTTTATTGCCTTCTTCTCCTCACTTGTGACAGCATATTAAAGCAAAGATAGCAATATAAGAACAATGCAAAACCAACCAAGAGGAAACACATGGTTACAGTAGGAAAAAAACCCCCAAAGACTGCAGGATAGATGTTTATGGAATATAGAAAAGTACTAAATACAGTACCTATATTAGGAGGGGTCAAATCTGCATTTCACGGAGCAAAATAGGAAAGTATTATATATTATCAATCACATTATGAAAAACACACCTATGGCAAAAACTAAGAAACAAGTATCTTGTGTTTTATATAAAAATATTTAAATAACTTGAGAACAATACCATATGAAAGTGAAATCATACAGCAGTATTAAAGGAAACATGAAGAACAGAACAAAAACACAACTAGTTCTGATTTCTGGATCAGAAATATTGTTTATAAAGGAAAAACATACGGATAATAATTATGAGTCTCTTGTCTCTAAAATAGATATTAAAAGCAATGAGTTAAAGTTACTATCACTTTCATTACAACACTGGAGTAATTGCTTATAACTTTTCCATACTTCAACCATTTGAACTGGCATTTTCCATATCAAATGTCTGCCTTAATCTAATAAATATCTTTAACAAATTTCAGAGAAAATAGCTCTGCAGTTTCACAGAATGAGGTTCAAGAAATATCTGCTGTTCTGCCCAAACTATATCAGCTAGAAGTTTTAGCATCTCTATGTTTTGGTGCAGTGACGTGAAGTTTGGCAGTGGTAGCGTCACAGATATGCTTTGTTATGGCATACTCGTATAAGAGAAAGTCTATGTAAAACACAATGATGTTTTAGTATAACTCCCCCCGCCCTTTCTCTGGTCAGCATTGCTTCACCCGTTGGATGAGCATTTCTTGGCAAGCAATTGAGGGAATAGTACTGGCATAAACTACTGAGGAACCCACAAACCCTTATTTCTAACCAAGCCTGAGTATAAAAACTATGTTCATGGTAATCTGACAGGAAGGGAAGAAAGCAGCTGAAGATCATTCAGGACTCAGATCAAGAACAGCCTTTGGTCAGAGCAACACAAGCAAGTAAAACCTCTCCTTCTAATGACTAGAATAAGAGAGGATCAATTTACATGCCAATATCTGAAAAAAATAATAAACCAAATGTTTTTAATATATTGGTATTCCAACAGGCTTTGCCAGAAGGGGGCCTTATCTCAATCTATTTTTCATAACTTATACCTACTTCTGATACTCTTATTTCTATAGGCTTACAGATTGAAAGAACTCACCTTCTATTAAATTGGGGTCATAAGTAGAGCTATCAGGCTTGTGTAGGGCTGGATATGTATTAAAGAGATTTGCAACAAAAGCCAAATTAAGTTTAGGGTTGCCTGCAACCACATCAGCTGGAGTAACAAACTGTCTGCAGCCCAGTTTGTTTGCTTCCTGAAGCATGCGTTCAGCTCTCTTCAGATCACTTTTCTCCTAGAAAAGGAAGTAAAGACAAGTACCGTTTTATTGATTTTTTTGGATTCTTTTTGATATCTCTGGACTCATATTTTCACATAGGACTGTGCATTATTATGCTGTACACTATAAGCACTCAAAGCCCTAAAACACAAAGCAGACCTTTTCACTAAGAAGTTGTGGTTAATTGTATCAGGGTCCCACTCCAGGGGTGGCTGTGATGCCCCTAGCATCCCCTAACCTCTCATCTTTACTTCCTTTGGGGCTATCTCCTGTTCAACTGACCTGCCATGCCTTTATGTAATTATACTTTTAGAAAAAGGGAGGCTGCCCCAGGGCTCCCCCCAAGTGAGATTTCACACTCGGGAACACAGCTGTCACTGATCACCTCATTAAGGGCTAATTATGTGGCCTCCTCATCTCCTCTTCTAGCCAAGCACACACCCAAACTTTGCAGATGTTACCAATCACTCACTCACTCATTGGGCATTAAGCCCTATTGTCTAATCTAGTCACTCTCTCCTCCATGGACCTTCAGCCCCTGCATCAACTCCTGTCCATACAGGCCTTTAAACCCAGAAGAGTCTCTGCCACTGTTGGGGCCTCCAGTCTCACTGCCTTTAGCTGTGCTGGCCCCTCCTGGGCTATAGCCTCTGTAGATTGAATAATCCTAACCCCTGTTGGGTTTAGGCTTGCATTCTCTGCCCCTCCTGGGCTCAAGCCACTGTCTCCAACAAGTTCTGCCTCTCACAGGCTATGGGCCCCTACCTCTACTTGTTCTCACACCTCGCGGGCTGTGGAGCCCTGGCCCTGCTTCTCATCACTTTGCAACTGTGGCCCTGCTCCTCCACCTTAGCCTCCATCTCTCAGGCCCTGTCCTTGCTCCTGGGCCAGTTGAGACTTTCATCACCCTTACAGTTTCAATCCCTAAACACCAATCTTGCCTACCCCAGCTCTGATATTAGTCAGGAGCCTTGCTGCAGTCCTTCTGCTTGGAAGCTCTTTTCTCCATGGCTTCTAGATCAAACTGCTTGCTCAGCTCAGGCCCTGGGCTTATATCCTGCAAGCCCAGCCCCTATTGAGTCATGTGGCTCCCTTGATTGACTTCTGCCTCACCTGCAGCCTGCCTTCCCTTAAACAACTCTAAAACACTAGTCTTCCCAGAAGATGTCACTATATCCTTTGTACTTGAATAAACCCATTGTACTCAGAAGCAGAACCAATGAAAAGGTAAGACAGACTATTCATGGAAAATTTCCCTTTTGACATAGAAGCATGAGTATAAATTTTTGACAAAACATTAAATATTTCAGTTTCAGGTACTCAGAGTCCTTTATTTAAAAAGAAAAACATGCCATAGAAATCAGACCATTTTCATTACCAAAAAGAATATTCAACTGAAAAGCTATTTTCTGTCAAAATTATTTTAGTGTAAACTTTCCAATCTTGTCTTCTCAGCAGCCTCCAAAGGAGAAATGTCACCATAACAACCTAAGATGGCCTTTTAAACATTTCTGTTATTTTGCTTGAAGGGTCTGAACATGCCAGTGCCCTCCATGTCTAATGATTTTTGGAGGGGTCCTTCACATATTTAAGTGTCATTTTATTCCCGGAATCAGGAGGAGAATATACATCTTCTGCCTAAAGAGGCCTACTCTGACTGAGCTGCAGAACACAACCATGCAGCTCAGTTAGAATTCTTTGTTGAAGAAGAGGTTTTCCAGAATAACAGGCTATTCACAACATCCATGGGGCAGAGGAAAGGATGGAACAGGCTGGTTACAAAATATTTTCCCTCTTTTAGTTAAAGCATAGTTCCACTTTGTACAATGAAAGGTACATAATTGTGTCTAACACATCCTGGAATTGTACTAAAATCTTGAAGGTTCAAAGCTTATGCATCCTTTAAATCAAGCTAACCACAAAAGAAAATCATGTTCTGGGATGTAACATCAATGAGACAACATGTATATCTTTGTTACTTAATGCAGACACAGTTTTAAATCTCAGAATACTTGCATCAAACCCTGAAAGGTCAATGGCAATGCGAATTCCATAATCTTCGTCTCCTTTGGGTGCAATCTGATTCAGCAGATGGTAGTAGGCTCTTGAATCCTAAAACAAGTAATGCACTTTTAGAGTATGGGCCAACATTTACTCCTCTAAATATAATATACTATTATTTTTACAGTCTCCCTCAAAGCCCATTGAAAACACTACAATGACTAATGCCACGTTCAATAAACTCTTGATTAGGCTTTTAGTTAAAATCTGCTTAATCTCTATGGCTACTTTTCTGGAATATTTCTCATAGAAGCCGTTCAGTCAAATGATTATGGATAGGAATGACTGCCATTTAGTCAGGACAATGTTAACAAACTCTTCTTCACTGAATATACTGGCCAACCTCATAGATTACAAGACATTTAAGGCAGCTGTTAAATTCTGACTTCATCTTTTGATGCTGATGTTACTACATAAGGTGTTCATGAGAAAGACTTAAAGATTGAACAATGGAAATTTCATTTTTATGAATCAGTTCAATATTCATCCTTCATCATTTTCACTTTTTAAGAATAGTCTCTTGTCTTAATGAACCAATTGATTGGGACAAAACTGTGTACCAAAACATCCCAGTTAAAGAGATTCAGTTATATATTTTGTCAATCATTATTTTTATTTGTTGCAATGTCCAATATATGTATTTTGTTTCTGTTGTTCCCATAGAAATCAGGCACAGAGGCAGAGACAAACTTGTACTCCTGATAAAAGTAGCTAATTTAAAACATTTTAAATATATGTGCCCTACATACTAAAGGACATTTTGATTAGATGTGCTCTAGTTCATTAAAATCAAGTTAATATTGTTATTAATAGGTTCTTCAACATTTTTTGAAGAATAACAATGACTACAAAAATATTTTAATGGTTTATTCTGAAATAATTAGAAGGAAAGTACCATAGAGATCCACTCATTTATTGCCCGTTCACTTTTGATTTTAAAAACATGCTGTTTTTCTCCTACCGACTTAATGAAGAGTGAGCAGAACTATACCCAAAATGAGATCCCTCCCCAGTTCAACTAGATAAAAAGAGACAATTCCAAAGCTTTCTGGGAAGGGATGATGGAAAGCAGTAAGTCTCTGAGTGGGGTTGTGCTAAATGACCCAAATAGTTTTAAGTACAATTTGCAACATTTGTATTCTTGAATGACAGCTACTGTTTTGACTCATGTGGGAAGTGTTTTGTTTGCATTGTATATTTCTTGTTGATACATTGTATTAGCAGCTGAACAGGACAATGTGTGATCATAAAATGTACAATTCTAGGATAAATTTGACTAACAAATTCCTGTAAAAATTGGATCACTACCATGTTCCTAATTCCCATCTCTCTCCTTCATTTCTAAACAGATTACATTCTGCCAATATTACTTTCACTTATTAGAATTACAAGTATATACCTTAATGTCCTGACTGAAATTGTTTATTTCCTGCCATCCTGCATTCAACAGATGGTAGTTTACCCAGCGCAGCAACAGCTCTTCTGGCGAAAGTTTCAGTAACTGCTCCAGGTCTTCCCCTTCATTTAGCAAAGCAATAAGAGCTAAAAGCAAGTTTGAACGAAAGCTGAATTATTGTTACCAGTGTCAGAAGGCATTTCATCGCACCTCACACATTTTATGGAACCTGACATTATTTTCTTTCTTACCTTCATTTCTGGAGAGCTCAATATCAGCTAAAAGACCAACTTTAATGATCTGCCACACGAGTCCTAATACCAAATGTGGTCTCCCTTCTTGTAGATCTTGTGATCCAATGTTGACTACTGTACAGCCAATAGCTGATGCAGAATTTAGGGCAAGGTTTATGTTTTCCTGTTGAAACATAAATGTTAACAAAATTAATATTTGTCAATATAAACACATTCAAAACAGCAAACACCAGCTTGGTTATTTTGTGGGCTTTTGACATTGTAAGGAACAGAAGAGTCTCATCTCAGATTAGTCCTTGTAATGCACTAGTATGCACTGCACAAAAGCAGCAGCACTAAGACTGGAAAAAGACATCCTCTTTGCAGTGTGATCTAGCTGTGCCGTGACTTCACTGATGCCTAGAGATGTCACTGGGGCTGTCATCCTGCAGAGTCAGTTCTTTGCCCCTCCTGGGGCTTCAGGAGCCCAATCCTGTAGGAAAAGAGTCCCAGATGGTGTACCCCAACTTGGGGTGCATGTCAGCAAGTGAGGGAAACTCCCATTTCCAGACATGCCTCCTGTGTTGGGGCATGAGAGAATCCTCCTGTAGGGAATTCAAGTATGGAGCAGGGGGAACTCTCAGCATGAAGGGTACATCAGGACCCAGTGCTTTTCTCATTGCTGCACCCCAGGGCACGATGTGCAAGCAGAGGGGGGACTCCTATGGGAGTTTTCCCCCCTGCATGCATGTGGATGCATGCATCATTGCAGAATAATTTCCCAAACATGCAAGTGCAGAAGGGGGAAACTCCCATAGGGGTCCCCCTACTCTGCTTGCACACCAGTCCAAACCCACAGGATGGCAGCAAGAAAAAGGAGTATCCCCCACCATGTTTGAATCACCTGCAGACTTAATATGTTTCTTCCAGCAAACAGATCTATATTTAGTAAACCGTCTTGCAATTTTTGCTTACAAGGCTGAAGCGATCAGAGCTACATAGCCTTTATTGTTGACATGACCGATAAACTTTATCACTGTATTTGTTTTTTACTATGATAATTGTGAACCTATGTACAATATTTTTATAGATTCATCTGATTTATCACCATATTTGTACTTGATTAATGTAATTCTAGGGGTAGGAATAATGCTTTTATAATAGTTGGCCCTATTTCATTATTGTATTTGCACTTCTGTTATTTTCATTTAAATTTATATTATCGTTATATGTCTGTTGTTTTTGGGAGCATGGCTTTCAGCCAGAATCCTTCATAAATTGAATTGAATTGAATTTCCTGCAGGGGCATTCGCCCAAGGTGTGCAACTGCCATCACAAAATTTAAGCACTTATGGAGCTATAAAGGGCATGATGTCTGTTCACTCTGCTTCTGTGCCACCCTAAAAATTTTTATGGTGGCACAAAGTGGACATCTGTTTTTCCATCAGATTTTCCGAGCCTCATCCTGTGGATAGAACTGCTTGAGTGGGCCCCTGCTCTCTGCAGAATGCTACTGCTTGCAATACCACTTAATTTGTGCCAAAGTATGTCCGCATGTGTAGGAACACGTCTGAAGTGCATAAACTCATGCTGATCTGTTTACTGCATCCAGTAAATGGAAATTGCAAAGAGAGCATCAAGACTGCAGCTGGACCACATGGTGACACTGGAAAGACAACTGCTATTAAAGCAGCAACAGTTTGGGAAAACAAATATATTCTAGCTCTGATAAGTATGCCATAGCCATAGAGAGAGCGTAAGTATATGTACTAGCATCTTTGCTGGCACAGTCTTTGTTAAACAGGCAGAAATTATAAGACACTTTTGGAGGGGAATTTAGAGCCTAATATATCTGAAGCTTCCTTACAAATCATGTTCAATTAAAGGGTCAGTTTTATTCCTTCCAGGTTTTAACTGATTTTTTCCCCTCATTATACTGAAACCTCACAAATTTACCTATTTCAAATCTGTCCGCCTCTCTCCAAACTAAAATATCATTTTCCCAACGTTCTTGTGTGAATGCTTAGTCATTAGCTCAGACTCAATAAAACTTTTAGTCTTTTTTTCTTAGGTCTCTCCACTACTTTCTTTTACTGTGGAAAATACACTTCCCTGCCTGTTACACAGGACAGCAGCTTGGAAATCATCTTTAACACTTAGTCCTCACATCCAGGCTATGCCTAAAACTTACATATTCTTTTTGCATAACATCTCTAAGATATGGCTTGTCCTTGTCAACCACTCCATTAAACTTCTATTGCTCAGATACTTCTAAAGACCAGGAAAACAGAGCAGGTCAGCTACAACAAATGAAAACATTAGAAATCTGAGAGAAAGGATGCAAGCTCTCTGCATTTCTTCAAGGCCTTGTGAAGTTTGAATGTTTCCCCCACAGCACCCAGGCAATGCATGTCAAGCTACTCCATGCATCAGACCCTTTAAATACATGCATAAAGCTTGATTCTCCTCCTGTTTTAAGTCCATAACAAAATTCTCAGTAAAAAAAGCTGTAGGCAGAGTCTACTGTAATATTTATGACAGAAAAGGTGCAATACTTACAGAAACAGTGAAAGGCGTGAGTTTCTTCTTGTTAATAACCCTTTCATCAATTGTATCTGGTTGTGATAAGTTAATCATTTTGCTGGGGAAGCAATTAAAGAATTCAATTTTTTGAGAAACCAAAACATTACTATTTTTGTGGTAAATCTTGAAATGTTATTTGAAATATTTAAAACATTATGGAAAACTATTCTCTTTTTCCACTCAAAAAAATTTCAGTGAGGAACCATTGAGTCTCCATAGATATGAAAAAGTGGAGCAGTCAGGTCTATGCTTAGGAAAAACTGACTGCATTGTTAGCGCAGCTCTCAGGAAAACTCAGCCAACCATAAATTAAATGTATTCAGAATGAGAGACTCTCTATTATCAAAAACATACAACTTGTAACTAACACAGCACACTACTGTAATGCCTTGTTTCTAAAATTCTTTCCTCTAAAAAGGGGTTGTCAACCTTGGGAGTATGCATGGGTGGGTGGGGATGGAGCGCCACCACCCACCACCCTGTGCCGCCACCTCCCAGAAGCAGGGCCCGGTGGTGGGGGGCAGGGGCCCCGAGGGCAGCGGTGCCCCACTGTAGGCCGCACAGGAACCACCCAGCCAGTGGCCACAGGAGGGACTCGCATGCGGTGGCTGCCACCACCATCCACCATCCCGCACCACCTCCATGCACTGCTTTCCCACAGACAGTCACACATGCAGCTCCATGGTCTGCTGATGGGCGACAAGCAAATTGGCCAGGTGCACGGCCAGTCACCAGCCTGTGGAGCTGCACGTGCAACCGGCCATGGAAAAGTGGTGCACAGGG